TAAATCCAATTGAAAAACAACTATCATTAAATCAAATTAGATGTAAAAAATATACATATGCATCAAAAGAAGGATTATTATACAACATTATAATCCAACAATTATTAATAAAGAATAAATGGAAGTTGGTAGAAACATATTATGACGTCTCCAAAGCATATGATAGCATTAATCATCAATTGATTAAACAATGCTTAATATATTTTAATATCCCACTAGTAGTAATTAATAGTATATTATATATATTAAATAATACACAACTTAATTTGTATTATAATCAAGAAAGTGTGGGTATAATTAATTTAGAAAGAGGAATAATACAAATGATAGTTTATCTCCACTCTTATTTGTATTATCTATTGATATATTATCTAAACATTTAGATAAACAAATAAGCAAATTAAATATTAAAATGAATGGAGAAGAAAAACAAGTCCAGTTAAACCACATATTATATATGGACGATTTAAAGATAATAACTAATAGCCTCGATGAAATGGAAAAATCCCACAAATTAACTAAAGAAATAATAATGGAATATGATTCAAAAATAAAGAAGATAAGACAAATAAAAAAAAAGAAGAGAAAAAAAAAATAAAAACTTGAAAAAAAAGAATGAAGAGTGAGAAGAGACTGCAAGAACGATTTGAAAAAAGAGAAGGAATAAAATGGCATGATAATATTTATGAACAACTAGAATATGAAAAGGAGATAATTGAAAAAATAAAAAGAGGAGAAATGAAGAAAGAGGAAGAAGAAGCAGAAGAAATACAAATTAAAGTGGGAGAAGAAGAAGAAGAAGGAAAAATTAAGATAAACGTCATTCGACCAAGTCAATATAAAGAAGTTAAAGTAAGAATTTATGTTAATGGAGAAGAAGAAATATTTGATAAAAAATATGAATGGGTGATGAAAGAAGGAGTTGACAATATTGAAGTTGAAAAGCCAATGGTTGAAGGAATATTTGATATTAGAGTAATGTATGAGAAAGTCAAATTAATCCAAGAAAGTAAATATATTTTTAAAGAAGCAAAAGGAAACGACTATATTCATATTGAAAAAGTTAAATATCAAGAAAATAATAAAGAAATGACAGGAATTCAAGTTAAAATAGAAGAAGGTAAAGCAGAAGAAGGAGATTTTGTATGTATTTATTTAGCAAGTAATACCAAAAATAAAGAATTTATTCGGAAAAAATGTCTTGAAAATAAAACACTAACTTTTTTCATTCCTTTATCAAATAAAGGAACTTACTTTCTAAAATACTTTAGAAAACCTGTTACTGAACCAACACCATCTTCACCATTTATTCACATTCAAAGATTTGAATTTTAATTGATAATTCAATACTATTTCATCTTTATATAATTCTAAACGTTTAAAAACAATATTTTCCATTTGTTAAATCCTATAAATTAAATTCATTGAACCATAACATTAAAATAATGAATTGGAATGTGCATTAGTTAAAACCAAGAGAATAAATGTATTAAGACAAATATCAAATTTGAAATACAAGAGATAGAAAGAAAAATGTCAAGAATAATAAAAAAGTCTTACTAATCTATAAAATAACAAACAAATATAACATACTGCATATAAAATAATGAAGAGTAATAAAGAATATTAGAATAAAATGACACATGATATAATATTATGTATAATTAATGATATACACCAATGATATAAAATAAGAAAACAAAATAATGCAATTAAAATAATAATCAAATAAAGAAAAGCAAATTGAATACCAATAATTAATAAAAATTAATGAATGATGGAATGAATATGTTGATGAAATTGTGTAATTCATAAAAAGAGAAATAAAATGAGCAGAGATGTTATTAGATTTTAAAACAAATGAAGAATATAACATATGAATAGGAAGTATTAACCAAGAATAGAAGAAATTAAATGAATTGACTATACTCAAAATACAGAAACAATAATAAACCAAAAATAAAATACTAATGAAAGAAGAAAGAACTAAATGATATACTCCTGTATAAAATACAGAATAATGAATAAAACAAATAAAACTATTTTGAATAATATCAGTATTTTAATATTTAATGTTATATTCTTTTTAAATCAAATACAACTTTTAAAAAATTCAAGAAAAAAACAAGAAAAGACTAATTCTACACAAATGAAATACAATCAACAAACAGTGTGTAAAACAATTATTCAACACTTTTATTCATTTATTTTATCATATTTTGAAATGATGTTTATATTACATTCTTTTATATTAATTTCTAATAACATGACAATGAAATGAATAATAATAATAATAAGATAATAATTATGATAAATGAACAGCAATGAATAATGAAGAAAACTAGATTCAAAGAATATATTTGTAATATATTTCATGAAATATAATATAGTAATTGAAGTATCAAATAAAAGAATACAATGTTGTAATAAACAAAAATGTAAATGAACAAAAAAATATAATTATTAATATATTAATGATGTATTTAAAATGATAATATTTGATTAATTCTTTTCTATTAAACAAAGTATGAAATATAAACCATAAAACAAATTAATAAATATGTTTAGTATAACCGACGAAATAACTAAATAATCTAGAATGAATTGAAATCAACATTATTTCTCTTATTCATGATTTTAAATTATTTGCTCAATTATAATAATAATATTATATCTTTATAAACATCAATCTATTTCAAAATATCATTTTTCTATTTTTCATAAACAATTTCTTTATAAAATCATTTAACCACATCTCATTTTATTCATTTATCGAAGTATTAATGTTTTTAATTGTTGATTGATATTTAGTAATAAAAACATAAATAAACTTTTAATAATAGTCATATTTTTAAATCAAGTTAATATTTAACGTATTGACAACACTAAGAAAATATATATCAAGAAAAATAATGTGTTTAATAGTATACCACACTCAAGAACAAAGAAGAATTATAAATTTAATATGGTTCTTCCTATTAGTTTTAATAAGAATATAACATATATAATAACTATTATAAGTGAGTTATAAGAAGCTATTTAAATTAAATTAAAGAATATTTAAAGAACGTACCAATTAACAAACACATTCTATTTAACTGGGTATAATGATGAAGTGTCTAACAATACTTAACTTAAATAACAATACGTTAATTCAATAGAAACAATTTCAACAATATTTATATATAAATGAATGATATATAAACAGAAATAAATAGAAATATTAAAATAAAAGAAGTTATTAAATAATATGGTTATTTCATTGTAGCATCTATCCTTCAAATGAAAAACATTGAACCAATAAAATGAAAGCGTATTGACTGAAATAAAAAAAACAATAATAACTTTAATGAAGGGGTATTTTGTTCAAAAAATTGAAGAAGATTAGTACAAAGAATAATATTATTAGAAAAACAAAATTATTTCATCTAAACCATAAATAAATAATACATTACAAGTGCTCAATGATATAATTATTAAAAGAGTATTTAAACAACAACATAAATATTAATAAAATGAGTTATTCATATACCATTTAATAATAAAACTATGAAGAATAATTATTCTCTAACATTATTATTATTAAACGGTATTATAATTGTATTAAAAACAAATTAATATACCTTATCATTAATAAACATATGTAACAATATTCACACATAAAAACAGAAGATAAGTAACACTAAAAATATAAGATATATTCAAACATTTAACCTATATTTTTTTATGAAAAAAATACAACAACATTATTTTAATAACTCCTAAAAATATAAAAGTAAAAAGAATAAATCATTTCAGCTACGTTTACTCTTAGTCTTCTTCTTCTGAACTTTCTTCTTTCTCATCATCATCTTCTTCTGAACTTTCTTCTGCTTCTGAACTTTCTTCTGCTTCTGAACTTTCTTCTTTCTCATCAGTAGGGTCGTGATAGTCATATACCTGTTTTAATTCTTTTCTAGATAATGCATAGGAAATAGTTCCAATTAATAATGCTGGGACAAGATATAATAATGCTGGTTGTCCACATGCAAATGTGTGCATAACGATGAATGTAATTAATAACCCAATGAAATATGAAATCATAGAAACCATGAAATATTGACTCTTATTATTAAAAGAAGTATCTACTCTTTTCATTAATGCAATAAAAATACCTGGAATTGCAATATCACCAAGTCCAAGAAGTGAAACTTGATCTGTGAAGATGAAGTTCCCATCTTTAGGGAAGATAAATTTGATTGGTCCGTCAACATGAGTTGCTACTGTCAACATAACTTCACTTCCAAACACCCAAAAGATATCATAGCAAAAGAGTGCAATTAACATGATTGCTGCGATTTTAAATGATGGGGCTGTAAGTTCTCCAATTGCAACAACTGTTAAACAAAATGCAAGTAAGTTATTCAAGATCCAATGACGAGTAATAACCCATAATAATGAAAATATAAATCCAACTCCTGTCCCAAGAATTTCTGATTTAGATGTTTCAATTTTACTATTAATAAATGGGATTGTGATAAAAAACTTCTCTGGAGATGCATATTTCTCAAATATAAATGAAAAAAATTCATTTATTCCAACTGCACCAATAAACATGAAATAAAGTGTTAATAAATATTGTAGATAATCTGCTGAAATGAATTTAATAACAACGTACAATCCAAATAATACAATACTTCCTATTACTGGCATTGACATTGCATTCTTTAAATCCATAGACTCTGTTAATTTCTCTCTAACTGCTTTTTCAGCTCTTTGTGCTCCAAGAACTAAAGGTAAAATTGGAGTAACAAATAATCCAACACTAGAAACGAGTTGATAAAACGATGGCATTAATCTAACAATTTACTTTGATCTTCTTTTCTTTTTTTTTCTTTTTTTTACTTTTTTGTTTATTTATTATACTAAAATAAATTAATTTTTATTATAATTTATATTGCTTTTGACAATTTAAAAAAATGTTATTAAAAACAAAAAAATGATAGAAAAAAGAAGTGAATTTAAATGAAATATTCTGGTAAATTTCTTTTACTAACAAAACCTTTTGGATCTTGTGGTGCTGCTTCAAATACTTTGAAACTATAACTCGTAGGAGTATCAATTTCCATAATTGAAGCAACATTATCCATACGATAATAATATTTGGGAGCAGACCATACAGTAACTAAAGTATTATTAAAGAACCATTGAAAACCGTCTTGGGCTAATTGATGTGCACGACAAATTAATTTAGTGTTATTGACTTGATTAAATTCTTGGACAGCTAATGCGTTAAACATACAACCAGCTCCACGACTTGATTTATGGAATTTTTCTAACTGATTTTCATCAGGATCAGACCACAACAATTCACAATATGCTCCAGTTGGTGGAATTTGTTTACAACGTTCTAATTTTTTAATATCATCTAATGCAGTTGCTGTTTGAGAAAGACCACCATGAACACAAAATATTTCGTTATCTAAAGTAGCCGCAGTAGCCATAAACTCAAACAAAGCAACACAATGTTTCCAAACATTAACATTTCCATATTTTTTCATACATTCATCGTAAAAACCATAGTCTCTTGTTTGAAGTGAGCATTCGTGATTTCCTCTCAATAAAGAAATACGTTGAGGAAAACGTAATTTTAATGCAACTAATAAAAGAAGGCATTCTAAACCATAATGTCCTCTATCAACATAATCCCCTAAAAATATATAATGTGTTTGTGGGGGAGTTCCACCAATAGAAAATAATTCTTTTAAATCGTGAAATTGTCCATGAATATCACCACAGACAGTACATGGTAATGAAAGAGTTAAAACAGTAGGTTCTTGAGACATAACTTCAATAGCTTTATTTGTTAATTGACAGATAATATATTCTTCAAGCATCTCATAGTTCCATAATCTGTTGATGATTTCATCCAGATTTAAATCTCCAGACATCTGTGATTATTTTTTATCTTTTCCAGTTTTTTTTGGGAAAAAATACATTCAAAAACGTTAATCTTAAAAATTAAAATTTTTAATAGTTTTTTTAATATTTTTTATTTTTACCATAGTAAAAATAAGAATAAAAGAAATAAAATAAAAAGAATGATTTAATTTAATAAAAGTAAATTTAATAATAAAAAAAACTATTTTAATAAAAAAGAACTAAAAAAAAAATAACAAAGAAATAATAATAAAACAATGCCAATTTTTTATAAGCCAAATATTTCAGATGAACAATATAAAATTGAACAAATAGAATTTGTAAGTGATTATAGTGGAAGTAGTTATTTATTATTATTGTCTATGTTTGTAATAAATATATATTTAAATTATTTTCATCATTTATTACATCATTATTTTCCTGTTTTTCATTCACATTTTGTGATATATATATTAAGTGACTTATTTATATCTATTCCAGCGATATTAATTCCTATGTTTTTTTCTTCAATAGTATATCCATTAGTTATTATTTTAACACTTATTTATTTAATTGTTTGTTATCATTATCCAAAAAGACAATCACCAACAATATATCCAGTTATATCAGTTGGATTTGTTGAGTTTAGAAGTATGATTAATCTTTGGACTTTAATTGCAATTCTTGCAGTTGATTTTCATATATTTCCTCGAATGCATACTAAAAGTGAATTTTATGGATTGTCTTTAATGGATACTGGAGTTGGTGCAATTGTTGTATGTAGTGGAGTAGCTGCTGGATTAAAAGAGAATCAAACTCCATATTTTAAAAATTTAATATCAAATGTTATACATTCATTACCTTTTTTTATAATAGGTTTTATTCGTTTGTTTGCAACAAGTATAACGGGTTATCAACATCATATAAGTGAATATGGAATGCATATGAATTTCTTTTTTGTATTAGGTTTTGTACAAATATTAACTTCATTAATTCATTCATCAAGGAAGTATTGTGGCATTGTTTCCGTTGTATTAATCATTGGATATGAAATAATTCTTCAATACTTTGATTTATATAATTACTCACTTACAGCAGATAGAATGTCTAATTTATTTGCTGCAAATAGAGAAGGGTTTTTAAGTATTATTGGATATACTTCAATTCAAATTGCAAGTACTGCAATGGGATATTATTATACACTTGGATGTACTAAACAATATAGATTTAAATTAGATGTTATTATTGTTATTATAGCATTTATTGGTTATATTGCTTATGAAGTTATTTCTCTTTACATTCCTCCTTGTCGTCCATTGATTAATTTAACTTATTTTATTGCATTAATGTCTCAAATGATGATTTGTTATGCTATTTGTGATGTTATTCCAATGTACCTTCCTGTTAAACAAACTGCTGGTTCTAATGGACTTAGTTTAAATCAACTCCCATTGTTTTTAATTGCAAATGTTATAACAGGAGTTGTAAACCTTCTGTTTTATACTTTATATGTTCCTACTATTGATTCTATTGTAATAATTTTCATTTATATTGCCATTGTTCGTATTATGGCATTTTGTTTAGGTTATTTCCATATTACGTTTAAGATTCAATCAATGCAACTAGTTATTCTTAATGACGATTATAGAACACCTTATAAATCTTATTCTCTATTTGGCTTCTTACGGTATTTTAAATCTTTAAAACTTCAACCAAATTCTTCAAATGAAAAAAGATAAACCAAAACAAATTTAATTGAATTTCATTCTCCATTCACAATATATTTTTTTTAATCATCTTTAACATCTTCAATCCCATTAGTAGTAATAGCAAATGACGCTTCACTTTCTGGAAGACATGGTGAGTCATAAACTTTACAAATCCGTGCTTCTCCTTTTCCTTTTCTTAAATATAATCTGGTGGTACTTGCGTGTGCAATAATATTCCCTCCAACAGGTTTTTTAGTATCTCCTCCAAACATACTTGCTTGACCATCAACTTGTGCTACAACTTGATTAGTTAATACTACAGCAACAGAAAATTCATCTGCAATCCTTTGTAATGCCCTCAAAAATTTAGCTAAATGCATTTGCCTTGAAGCTAATTCTCCTCTTCCACTGTAATCAGTTCTATATAATGCTGTTGCAGAATCAATAATTAATAGTCCATATCTTTCTTTAGCCATCAACCCACTAGCCATTTGTAATAATTGCATTTGATGTTCTGTGTTATGTGCTCGTGCTACAGCTACATTATTTAATGCTTCTTCTGAATTTAATCCATATTTTTCTGCAATTTGTGTTAGTCTCTCTGGTCTAAATGTACCTTCTGTATCTATGTAAATAGCTCTTCCTTCTGTGCCACCATTTTCTATTCCTAATTGACAAGTGACACATAATTGATGACATAGTTGTGTTTTTCCAGTTCGGAATTCACCAAATAATTCCGTAATACTTCCAGTCTCAAATCCTCCACATAATAATTTATCCAATTCTCTTGATCCTGTAGTAATTCGAATAGTTTCTTTTCTTAAATTATTTAATTCAGCTGCATTAGTGAATGCTAATGGAACTATTTTGGATGATTCAGCAAGTAATTTATCAGCTTTAGCATCACTAATTCCTTTTATTGTAATTAACTGTTTCTTTGGTGTAAAAGCAATTGACTGAACAGTGAAAAATCCTGCTTCTTCTAACTTTTTACAATCACCTTCAGTAATTCCAGCCAATCCAATAAGTTTTCTTATTGGGACAGCAGCGTTTTCTTCTTCTTCTTCTTCCTCTTCTTCCTCTTCATGTTCTTCTTCATTTACTTTTTCTTTTTCTTTTAAATTTTCTTCAGACTCAAGTAACTCTTCTTCAGAACCTCTTTGTATTTGCTTGGCACTCATTACTTTAGTTTTACTTTTTCTGTTCTCTTTTTCCGTTCTTTTTTTATTCTTGTTTTATTGAGTTTTTGGTGTATTTATTATTTCTTACTATTGTGTTTCTATATTAATAAAATTGAGGTTTGAATATCAAATATAATGAAAGAAATTTGTGTTTTTCAATGAAGAAGAAAAAATGAAAAACAATTTTTATAATTTTTTGTTATTTAGAAAATGAAAAAGTGATTAATAGCTAAGGAATAATGTTTTATATCTTTTTCTGAAGAAAGAGTTGAGGTGAAAGAATGGAAACAATCTAGACAATGGAGAAATGAAAGTAATAAAAAAAGAGTCAAAGTAAAAGTTTTGAGAATATCATAATATCAAAAAAAAGGGAAACAATAGTTTAGAATGAAGTAGTTAATCTAAAAATAAATAATAAGAGAATAATAAATAAAGAATTAGAAAAAAAAAGAAAGAGTGAAAAGAAGAAGTTAGTATAAATATAGAAATGCGGAGATTCAACAACTTTGCATATGCAATTCTAAACTCAAAGTAATTACTTAAAATTTAAAAAAAAGAAAACTTTAATAATTATTATTTAACAATGGAAACAATAAGATGCATTGATAAAGATCGTTATAAAAGGAATAGAAATTACCAATCAGCATTAATGGCATTCTATATAGGATTAATGAACAAACATGGATCTATTGAAGTAATGAAACAAGCTGGAAGAACTCTCGTTGCGTTGCCATTTCTTCAAGTTGTTCGTATACAATTATCAGAAGAAGATACAGTAGATTATCATGAAATTATTGAAAGAAGAATAAAAGAAATAGTTTCATTTGAAGTATCAATGAATGTTCCATTAAAAGTAGCATTAGTAAGAGCAAAGAAAAATAGAATTATAGAGTCATTAAATTTAATGCAAGATTTATTGGTAGAATATGGATATTATTTTAAAGAAAAAAATACAACTAAAAAAATTTCAAAAGTAGGAATAGATATGTCTCAAACTATTTTTTATCATCAAAAAGTTTTTGGTTCTAAAGATATATTAAGAATTGGAGAAAAAATTTGTAAATTAGTTCTTCAAAAAATAGATACAAAATATTCAGTAATTTTACCGATGAATGATTTATCAATCCAATCTATTTTTTGTGAATAATAAAATGAAATAAAAAGAATTGGATATTTAAAATTATAATTTTATTTATTTGTTTCTTTAAAAATTAAAATAAAATGTTTATTATTACAATAACAAGAGTGAATTATATATTTAAAAAAAAATTATTAAATGTTAAAAAGAAACAATAAGAATCCAATTCGATTCTTAATAATTTGAATTTGAGCTTTTTTTTCAATAACCCCAAATTTAGTTTCAATAAATCTTTGAATTGCAACATTATTAAAATATGATTCATACATTCCATATCCTTTTTCAATTATTTCTTTGAATAATAATAAATCAAAAATAATATAACTTTCATCTATACAAATATTATTTGGATAAATATCTTTTATTTCAATTGGTTCTTTACTAAACAATTTTTCTGAGAATTTCATAATTGAATCAACAAATAATGATTGTAATATAATTTCATTTTTCTTATTTTGTTTTCTTATTTGTTTTATTATTTCATTTTGTATTTTTGTTTTATCAATATCAAAAGAAAATTCTTTCCAATGTTGAATCATACTACCATACTTTAATAAATTATAAATAATATTATCAACAATTTCTAATAAAATATTTTCTTCTATTGTTGGTATTAATTCTATCATTTTTCTTTGAATAGTTATTTTTAATTTTTCATATTCTTTATGACTAATAATTTGCTCAATATATTCTTTGACACTATTGTTCTTATTTTTTTTAATCTCACTAACTTCTTCATTAATTGTTTTATTCTCATTTGATACTTTTTCTATAACCCTTTGATAAAACATTTCTGCATTTTGTGTTGAAAGAGTATCTAATATCTCATTATAAATTAAATTATTACTGAATTTTTTTTCAATCATTTTGTTACTCTTATGAATTTTAGGTAAGGAAATGACAGGTTGTGTTATTTTTCTTGTTTGACTTGGTTTTGTTCCATCAGATTTCATATTAAAAATTTATTTGTCTATTTTTGAGATAAGTTCAATATGTAAAAAAATATCTATTTAAAACCCTCGATTATGGTTTATTATAATTACAGAGTTTGAATGTTTAAATTCTTAGAAATAAGTTTTGTATATTTCGAGATTTTTGTATGTAACTAAAATAACACTATAAAAAATACTAATTTCTTTTAAAAAAATTGTTATAACAATTTTTATATTCATCCTGAGTTAAATTTATTATTAATCACTGAAAAAAATAGATTCATATTGAATAGATCAAAGACTGTGGGAGTTTCAATACCACTATTAGTTACTGTTTGTTCTATTGAATAGTAAACAAAACTAATTAAGTTGTTAGATATAAAAAAGAAGAAGAGGATTATGAAAAGTTTGGAAATATCAAATTAATAGTATTTGTTTACTATAAAAATTTATTTTTACTGTTTTATTTAAATATTGTTTTATCATTTTTATTTACAACTCTAACTTTATTATAACATTAATGTACAATTCAATAAATTTTATTACTTCAAAATGTAAAAAGAGTAACATTACTAACAATGTGTTATTTTAAATTTGTGTTAATGTTATATCAAAAGATAGAAATTAATGAGCTAAATGATATACATGAATTTAATTAGTTTTAAAAAAAAAGAAGATAATTTCCATTCCATTATGTTTAATTCTTAAAAGGATAAAGAAACAAAACACACACTATAATCCTCTAGTTGGTATAATGTGAAGACAAACACTATAACTATGATACCATTTGTTTTTGTTATTCAAAATAAATTTTATTAACATTAGTCTAAAATAAAACAATATACAATATATAAAAAATAAGAAATATTTGAAATTGAAAAAAAAAACAAAGAATGGTTCAATAATATTAATAAACTACGACTGAAACTATCTATTACTAAAACATATAACAACAAAAATTCTATTCAATTACAAATGGATTTGAATTGTTTAGAAGGAGTAGACTAAAAATAAATGAGTATTAAACATAAAATTCTCTGGTTTTATTATTTCTTCTTTTTATCTTTTTTCTCCTTTTCTTCTCGCTTTTTTTTCTTATCATTACTACTAGTATCTACTTTGACTTTCTTCTTTGATTTTTCTCCATCAGAATCAGAATCATTAATACGTAAAGATACAATTGAGAATTTGCTTGTATGAGATTCATTAATTGATTCAGGAACAAATTGTTGACTTTTATCATTAACAGAAGTAGAATTAGGTGAA